GCTGAAGGGAGTCTCTCTATAGACGAGCTGAAGGGAGTCTCTATAGACGAGCTGAAGGGAGTCTCTATAGACGAGCTGTAGGGAGTTTCCACGTATGTCAGGAAGTCTGTATATACGAACTAGCTGGAGTATGGAGGTCTTCTGTTGACGAGTGGAAAGGTATCTTCATAGACGGCATCTATGCGAGCCCAGGACGGACTTTAATAGAGACCTTGAAAACTATTTCATAATAAATCCACGCCTCTATGGACCTTGAAAACTATTTCATAATAAATCCACGCCTCTATGGACCTTGAAAACTATTTCATAATAAATCCACGCCTCTATGGACCTTGAAAACTATTTCATAATAAATCCACGCCTCTATGGACCTTGAAAACTATTTCATAATAAATCCACGCCTCTATGGACCTTGAAAACTATTTCATAATAAATCCACGCCTCTATGGACCTTGAAAACTATTTCATAATAAATCCACGCCTCTATGGACCTTGAAAACTATTTCATAATAAATCCACGCCTCTATGGACCTTGAAAACTATTTCATAATAAATCCACGCCTCTATGGACCTTGAAAACTATTTCATAATAAATCCACGCCTCTATGGACTTTGAAAACAATTTTTTAATAAATCCACGCCTTGTGGCGGTTTTCAAAAATATTTTTTTTTTTTAAATCCACGCCTTATGGAAGTCTGGCAAAAATATATTCTTTAAAAACATAACATAAAACCCTCGAATGGACCTCTGTAAAAATTTCCAAGAGACTTGACATTCTGAGTGTTCTATATACATTACAGGGTATTTTCAGTCCCTCTGTAGCTCTCCTCTGTTTGAAAATCCATACCTTTCTATCCCATCCTCCTTCCAATATTTTTTTTTAAGAAATCTCTTCCAGCTATTTATATTAATTTCAAACCCTCTTCTACCCCCTCTAAAACTTCACTATTAATTACATTCAATCTAAATTGCATTGCATTTGAGCGTTTCTATTGAAATTTATTTGTCTGATTAGTAATTTTTCGTTGCTACTTCCTCTTCTCTTCCCTCTTTTGTCTCTTCCATGGCTATTTGTTCCGCAGTAAAATCTCAATCAAATCTTACCGGCCATGATGTAATTTTTGGCAATACGGATAAAGTTTTTAGCGAACATTGCATTTGGATTGAATCACGTATTCGATGGCTGCAAGAACTTGAGGCAAGTGGAGATGGAGCTGGAGGTGCTAGCGAACAAACAGAAACATACACACACAGAGAGCGGAAAACACAAATAAATGAGCCAGAGATTTGTCGAAGTTGAATGGCAATTACCGAAATGAATGAATGAATGAATGAAGGAACAAAGTGGATGTTCGGTTGGTTTGGCAATATTTTGGAGATTTCCCATTTTCAGATGGCCGTTGAATTAAAGTGCAATGACAAACCACTTAATCAGAGTTACCACAATGGAACGTGACATTTTTCGGGGCTGTTGGCGATGAGTGGGGAAGGAATGCAATTTTAAGAGGCGAGACAATTTTTTTTTTAATTTACACAATGTTTTGAATTTGAAAAATTTTTTGAGAAAATTCAATTTAATATTTTCCATGTGTAATTTTTAAATCCAATCCTACCCTCTCATAACTAACCTAAAATTACAATGTCCGCTAGAATAATTGCCAATTCTTCCTCCCCATAATTTTCGATTCAATATTCAATTACCTAGTATTTTGTATCACTTATCTAATGAGGGTTTACTTAGATTCCATGCTCACTCTTCCTCGTCTATTCACTCTAATTGTCATGGAGTGGCCACTTCAAATGGCTTCCTCTTTAATTTGCAGCAGTTCTTCGTCGCAATTGAATGTTGGAACTGTTACTAATAGAGGAGGGGTACTTCAAGGTATTTGCCACAGCTTGTCTTACATGGCCTCATTTTTATTGCAGTAGTAGTTGTTGTTGTTGCTATGTTTTCCCAGCCAAAGAAACAAACCACCAAATACATGGAGAAGTATTCTTAACCTAGTATTGTGTGGGCAAAGAATTGTGGGTGGTGGGAGCTAGGATGAGGGGGTGAGACAATTCTATGGCCAATGTTTTCTTTAACCACAATGTAATTTCTATATGTTTTGGATGGTTCGACAACTATAGATTTTTTGTAGCAAACAGTTTTGAATTGGGCAAGGGATGGCGATTTATGAGATATTTTGGGCAACATTTTTTGGTCGGATTTTTTTTTTAATTGTATTCTTGTTTTATTTTTAGAAAGATATGGCAATGTTGAAAAAAAAAAAACATTTTTACTAATTAAATTTCAATTTTGATTTTTTGGTCGGAATTTAAAAAAAATTGGTCTAAATTTTAGAGTATATTTTTATTTTTCCAACGACTATTAACCATTTTAATTTGGCATGATTGGTCGGTTTTGATTTTTTTTTTGAAAAAAATAATTTTTACTAATTAAATTTCAATTTTGAGTTTTAGGTCGGAATTTAAAAAAAAAAATTGGTCGAAATTTTAGAGTATATTTTTGTTTTTTCCAACAACTATTAACCATTTTATTTTGGCATGAAAAATTTTAATTTTTTTGGAAAAAAAAAATTTTTTGTCTGAATTTGAAAATTGGTCAGAAATTTAAAATAAATAGAAATAAAATAAAATATATTTGGTCGGAAACAAATATTTTTGGTCGAAATATAAATTTTTCTTATATTGGGGGTTTTAATTATATGATTTGATATAAAACTCTTTTTTTAGATTTTTTTTAAATTAATTCGAATTACTATACACATTTATTTTTAAATATGGCAACCCTACTTATCAATTCTCAGCAGTTCAAATTTATGACTGTACTGCAGTTCTTAATACTGCTAAGAATTTAGTAAAAAACTATATTTTAAATACTATTTTTGTTATTTTGGCAACCCTACCCTGCAATCCTCAGCGCTTCAAATTGATGATTGTACTGCTGCACTTAATGCTGCACAATATTTAAGTGGTTGTTAGATGACAAAGGGAACACGAAGTTTAACAATTTTTTCCAAGAACAAACTTGTTTTTAGTTTTCTCTTTATTTTTAAGCTGAAGTTTTTGTCCTAAAATGTTTAAAAGTTTGGCGAAATAAATTGGTATTGAGTGAAAAGTTTTATCTATTTTTTTTTTGGGGAAATTGGATATTGATTAAGAGACAATTTAGTCGGCATTATATGGATGATCTCCGGCAAAAGGAGGAGGAAAGAAGGTTGGGAGGGGTCCAAGCCATGAATGAACGGTATGAAAGGAGGCTGATGGGCCAGTGAGCCTATATAGACGAGCCGACTGGCCAGTGAGTCTATATAGACGAGCTGACTGGCCAGTGAGTCTATATAGACGAGCTAACTGGCCAGTGAGTCTATATAGACGAGCTGACTGGCCAGTGAGTCTATATAGACGAGCTGACTGGCCAGTGAGTCTATATAGACGAGCTGACTGGCCAGTGAGTCTATATAGACGAGCTGACTGGCCAGTGAGTCTATATAGACGAGCTGACTGGCCAGTGAGTCTATATAGACGAGCTGACTGGCCAGTGAGTCTATATAGACGAGCTGACTGGCCAGTGAGTCTATATAGACGAGCTGACTGGCCAGTGAGTCTATATAGACGAGCTGACTGGCCAGTGAGTCTATATAGACGAGCTGACTGGCCAGTGAGTCTATATAGACGAGCTGACTGGCCAGTGAGTCTATATAGACGAGCTGACTGGCCAGTGAGTCTATATAGACGAGCTGACTGGCCAGTGAGTCTATATAGACGAGCTGACTGGCCAGTGAGTCTATATAGACGAGCTGACTGGCCAGTGAGTCTATATAGACGAGCTGACTGGCCAGTGAGTCTATATAGACGAGCTGACTGGCCAGTGAGTCTATATAGACGAGCTGACTGGCCAGTGAGTCTATATAGACGAGCTGACTGGCCAGTGAGTCTATATAGACGAGCTGACTGGCCAGTGAGTCTATATAGACGAGCTGACTGGCCAGTGAGTCTATATAGATGAGCTGAAGGGCCAGTGTGTCTATATAGATGAGCTGAAGGGCCAGTGTGTCTACATAGATGAGCTGAAGGGCCATTGTGTCTATATAGACGAGTTGAAGGGCCATTGTGTCTATATAGACGAGCTGAAGGGTTAGTGGGTCTATGTAGACGAGCTGAAGGGTTAGTGAGTCTATATAGACGAGCTGACTGGCCAGTGAGTCTATATAGATGAGCTGAAGGGCCAGTGTTTCTATATAGACGACTTGAAGGGCCAGTGTGTCTATATAGACGAGCTGAAGGGTTAGTGGGTCTATGTAGACGAGCTGAAGGGTTAGTGAGTCTATATAGACGAGCTGAAGGGTTAGTGAGTCTATATAGACGAGCTGAAGGGTTAGTGAGTCTATATAGACGAGCTGAAGGGTTAGTGGGTCTATACAGACGAGCTGAAGGACCGGTGAATCTTTATAGACGAGATGATGGTCGGTGAGTCTTTATAGCCCAGCAAAAGGCAAGTGATTCTACCCAGACGAGCTGAAGGGCCAGTGAGTGTATATTGTCGAGCTAAGGGGACAATAAGTCTATATGGACCAGCTAAGGGGCCAGTGAGTCTGTATGGACGAGATGAAGGGCCAGTGAGTCTATGTAGACAAACTGAGGGCCATTTGCTTTGGAGTTTGGACAGTTAGTTTACTACAAAGGATCTGGAATGCCAGTCAGGTTATATAGACTAGCTGAATATATACAAACATCCTGGGGGACAGTGTGTTCAGAGTCCAGTGAGTATCACAGAGAAGCTGAAAGACCAGTGTATCTATACAAATGAACCAGGGAGTCTATGTAAACAAGCTGAGGCGTCCATTATCATATAAAGACGAACTCTGGGGCCAGTGAGGCTATATATCCTTTCAAGGGAGTTGTAAAACTAGAACACCTCTAAATGCGTTTTATGGAATACCAAAACGGCAACAGAATAATTTATTTACTTATAATCTCATTTTCTTTCACTTACCTTGTGGTGATTTCTCCTCTTCCAATTTACCCAAATAAAATGGGCCCTGGCGGGTACTAATTTCATGGACAATAATGGCAAATGAATAGACATCTCCTTTTTGGGTACCCTCCGCTGGGCGATTGTGTTCCATTTTCAACAGCTCTGGGGCGGTCCATAAAAGTTCTGAAAAATATAAAAAATTATGACAACCCTTCAGAAAAATCTTCCCCCCTTCAAATACTTACTACTCCAATACGAATGACTGTTACAATTCTCCACATCATTTTCCTTATCGTAACTATTCCGCCGCAAGGTATGCAAACCAAAATCACATATCTTCAACACAAATCTTGAATCCACAACACAATTCGAAGATTTCAAATTTCCGTGAGCTTTAATATCGGAATTATGCAGAAATTGCATACCCCTGACAATATCATGCATCAGAGACAGCTTAAACATCCAATCCAATTGGAATTGATCATTTTCCAAAATGTCCTGCAGCGAACCCTTTGGACAATATTCCGTTAGAATGAAACTCTTAGCTGGATCTAGGCAGGCTCCGAAAAATTTCACCAAATGGTCATGTTGTAAATCCTTCATTCTCTTTAATTCCAACATCAGTGAGCGGTTGAGGGTAATGTTCCTCTCGTCCACCGTTTTGATGGCAACTTTACAACCACGAAATAGGCCCACGGGTATAAATATTTGACGATCACCACTTAGCGAGCCCATATCATCCGACATCAGGGTCATTTGTGAGTTATGCTTGACTAGGGAGTGTAACGAGCCACGGAAGCAGCGACCTGCGGAATTGTGGAAAATTACATCGTCGATATTTACCCTCCATGCCATGGAATTGATTTCAGCCTCCGATTTGTAATGGCGATAGCCAAAGAAGAAACAAACACTCATGATGACCACCACCACGCCAAGGACCAAAGAGAGTATGGCATAGCCTGGCAGAGCTGTAAATAAAATTTTTAGGAAATCTTATTTTCAGATTTTTTCTACCATACTTACAATTATCGGGACACAGCGAACCATCATAACCACACACCGGCCTATCCAAGGGTGGATCCAAACGATTCCCAGCCCAATGTATGGTTTTGCCCGGCACATATTCCAATTTGTTGTGTTGAAAATGTGCCACAATTTCAAAACGCCCCGTCGTTGGATTCATATCCAGCAACGAGTAGGCAGAGATCCGATCACCATTGGCATCGATTGTCACATTTCCCGTTATACCCATAAAACTACGATTCCACATGCGACGCACCATATCCGTACCATTGATGGGACGTGTCAGCACTGTGGGATCTTCACGTATGCTGTCATTCAGCGCATTGGCATACAGCAGGACGCCGTCGTAAAAGGAGGTAACGAACACCGATATGGGTTCATTGTCATGGAACGTGTAATTGTATTTGGCCTTTGCGATGGATTTAATCTGGAAAATTGAAAACAAAAAAGCGAAATGAAAAAAAAGAAGAAGAGCAAGGATACGTTGACACACAAAAAGCAGCAGCAGCAAGGATGTTCCGTTGATGTTCTCCACTTTTTTTTTCAAGAATTACTTCCTTGATAGTGCATTAACGTTGAGACATTCACAAGAATTTATATGTGTGTGTGGGGAATTGCAAGGGTATTGGATGCGTGACAGTAACGATGCAATGTAGGTTCTTACGAGGGAAGGGAGGACAAATTTTGGCGTTAGGAAAGGAGGGTTTTAGCTGAAGGAAGTCTCTATAGATGAGTTGATGGGGCTCTCTATGAACTGCAGTAAGTCGATCTAAAGGACCAGTGAGTCTATATACGCGAACTAAAGGTCCAGAGAGTCTATATAGGCGATCTACAGGGCCAGTGAGTCTATATAGATGAACTGTGGGGCTAGTGAGTCTATATAGACAAGCTGAAGGGCCAGTTAGTGTATATAGACGAACTGTAGAGCCAGTGTATTTATATAGACGAGCTGAAGGGCCAGTGAGTCTATATATACCAGCTGACTGGCCAGTGAGTCTATATAGACGAGCTGACTGGCCAGTGAGTCTATATAGACGAGCTGACTGGCCAGTGAGTCTATATAGACGAGCTGACTGGCCAGTGAGTCTATATAGACAAGCTGACTGGCCAGTGAGTCTATATAGACGAGCTGACTGGCCAGTGAGTCTATATAGACGAGCTGACTGGCCAGTGAGTCTATATAGACGAGCTGACGGGCCAGTGAGTCTATATAGACGAGCTGAAGGGCCAGTGAGTCTATATAGACGAGCTGAAGGGCTCATGACCAGTGAGTCTATATAAATGGTCTAAGGGACCAGTGAGTCTATATAGAGCTGAGCTGACTGGCCAGTGAGTCTATATAGACGAGCTGACTGGCCAGTGAGTCTATATAGACGAGCTGACTGGCCAGTGAGTCTATATAGACGAGCTGACTGGCCAGTGAGTCTATATAGACGAGCTGACTGGCCAGTGAGTCTATATAGACGAGCTGACTGGCCAGTGAGTCTATATCTATATAGACGAGCTGACTGGCCAGTGAGTCTATATAGACGAGCTGACTGGCCAGTGAGTCTATATAGACGAGCTGACTGGCCAGTGAGTCTATATAGACGAGCTGACTGGCCAGTGAGTCTATATAGACGAGCTGACTGGCCAGTGAGTCTATATAAACGAGCTGACTGGACAGTGAGTCTATATAGACGAGCTGACTGGCCAGTGAGTCTATATAGACGAGCTGACTGGCCAGTGAGTCTATATAGAGGAGCTGACTGGCCAGTGAGTCTATATAGACGAGCTAAAGGGCCAGTGAGTCTATATAGAAGAGCTGACTGGCCAGTGAATCTATATAGACAAGCTGACTGGCCAGTTAGTCTATATAGACGACCTGACTGTCCTGTGAGTTTATATGAGATGAGTCGAAGGTCCTGTGAGTTTATATGAGATGAGTCGAAGGTCCTGTGAGTCTATCATAGTCGAGTTGAAGGGTTTGGACCCCTGGGAAGGGTCTGGAAAATGATTCTTTAAAAATCCACGACGTATTAAGGGTCTGGAAAACGATTTTTAAAAAAGCCACGACCTAAGAAGGGTCTGGAAAATGATTATTATTAGTATTATTTAAAATCCACGCCTTCTGGAGGTCTCGAAAGAAATATTATTTAAATAAAAAATCTGTGCCTTGTGGAGGTCTGAAAAAATAGGCTTTAAAATTCCAAAAATTCTTGAAAAAAAAAATTTTTGAAAAATCCACGCTTTGTGCCTGGAAAAATGATCCTTGAAAAAACCTACGCCTTGTAGAATAATTTATTAAAAATCCACACCTTTTGGAGGTCTTTAAAATATTTCTTAGGGTTGAAGGGTCAGGAAGAATGATTCTTTAAAAATCCACGGCTTGCATAGGGTCTGCAAAAATGATTCTTCAAAAATCCACGCCTTCTGGAGGTCTCGAAAGAAATATTATTTAAAAAATCCACGCCTTCTTTAAAAATATATCCCTTGTGGAGGTCTTGAAAAAATAATCTTTAAAAAATCAATGTTTTGTGCCTGGAAAAATTATCCTTGAAAAAACCTACGCCTTGTAGAATAATTCCTTAAAAATCCACGCCTTTTCGAGGTCTTTAAAAATACTTTCTTATTTCGACTCTATTAGAGGTCAACAGCACCTCTTCCTACACAGGCAGCACCTCCATACACGAATATTACTTATATTCAGTACAGCCCCTCTAATTACTTGTCCAGAATCAGGCATGCTTATTCTTTGGCTCGATAGCCTTCTCCATGTAAATTTTCGCGATGTTTGAGACATAATTGCGACCTCTGGATCGACCAGAAAAACCGACAAAAATTAAGTATTTGGTCCATTTCATCCCCTAAATGTTAACCGATCTTTACCAAAAACAATAGGGGTCTTCATTGGGCCGAACCCATCCTACATGCAAAATTTCGTGAGGATTGGTCCATAACTATGGTTTGTATCGTGTTTAAAAATTATATAGACAGACGGACGGACGGACGGACACACATGTCTAGATCGACTCAGCTAGTCGAGATATGACGATCGGTATACTTAAAGGTGGGTCTAGGGCCAATATTTCGCGTTACAAACTTTTGGGGCTGCACAAAGCTATAATACCCTGACAACATTGTTGTGTAGGGTATAAACACTTCGACTAAATGGCCTTGTAAAAATATTTTTAAAAAATCCTCGTATGAAGTGCCTTCGAAAAAATATGATTTTAACCATCCTCCATATTTGGTTGCTCCACCATCGCGAAAAATTTCCATTTCCCTTGGGGAGGGTTGTGTGCGACGAAAGCTGAATTATGACAACCAAAAAAAGTAAACCAACTGAATTTCATAAATTGAAAATCCGACTCAGTGCTTGAAAACAATGTTACGGAATATAAATTCCCTTTTTATGAGTTTCTGTTTTTTACACCTACAGAAGGAAATTTTATTTATCAGATATCCTCCCTCCCCTCTCGCATTAATGAATGCACAATTTTGTGAATGAATGCATGAATTCATGATTTCAGCAAGTAAAACAAAAAAACGGGGGGAATATAAATTCAAAAGTGTGAAAATATTTTTAATGAAGGGGAAAATTGTGTTGAAAATGGAAAAGTGGCAAAAGGATATTGGAAAGGACATTTGTGGCGAAGAAAAAGAGGGGGACTTTTTTTTGAAAGTTCTGAAGAATTTATAGGGCACTAGGAGAAAGGTTTTAAAGAGAGATGGTGAAGTAATGACCCGATCTAAATATCCTTTAATGGCCCGATTTAAATGTTCTTGATCACTCCATCATAAAAGAGATGAAGGAGCAGTAGGCGAATGATGACCTTGGGAGACTATATCACCAATATGAAATTCTGTCTTTAAACATAATTGTTCTTCATCGGAAAATTCCTTAAAAAATTGTGACATTTAAACACTTCTCTGTTCGGTGAAATTCTTTTAAACCACAAATATTTCCCCCCTCTACACAACTCTTCAAAATGAAAAAACCCTCGCCTTGAAGTGGAAAAAAAGAAAAAAGTTTTTTTCTGGCAACTTTGTTACAACTTTTATATTATTTTAACTTGATTTTTTCTTGTGTTTGTTAATTTATCCTTTAACCCCATCCCCCACTCGCCTATAAACTCTTTGCACTCAGTCGTTCCATTTCCATCTTCACAGAATCCTGATGCAGTTTTAATGTGAATACGAAAACATACCAACATTATTTAATTTGTCTCTGCTCCATTAACATGACTAGACGAGAATTTATATGGAGAAAAATACACACCATTGCCAAAGGATGATAAAAGGATAACAAAAAAAAAATGGAAGAGTGAAAACATGAAAGATCATAAAATTTAAGCAATTTTAAGAGTTTATAGCTTTGCCAAGGGGAACTGCATTTTTTCTTATTTTAATGCCAGAATTTGCAGGTACGTAAATCAACACATTACAAAATACTTAGAGTTTGTAAAAGGACAACAAACAAAGGGAAAAGTCTGTCAGATTAGGGACAAAAATCTTGAGAATATTTTTTTAATAAATCCAAGCCTTGTGAGGGTCTTCAACAAATATTTTTTTTTATAAATCCACACCCTATGGAGGTCGAGGCCCTGGGGAAGTTTTGAAAAAATATTTTTTATTAAATCAACGCCTTGTGGAGGTCTTCAGAAAATATTTTTTAAAAAATCCGAGCATTATGGATGCCTTAAAAACATATTTTTAAAAAAAATCCACTTCTTGCGGAGACATTGAAAACATATTTTTTAAAAAATCCACGCCTTGTGGAGGTCTTCGGAAAATATTTGTTTAAAGAATATTTTTTAAACCCTCTTTTATGTAGTGAAGTTTTTTTTCACAAGCCGTGGATTTTTTAAAGAATATTTTTTCCAGACCCTCCACAAGACGTGGAGTTTTTTTTAAGAATATTTTTTTAACATCTCCACAAGGCGTGGATTTTTTAAAGAATATTTTGTCTGCAACCACCTCCAAGCGTTGATTTTTTAAAGATTTTTTTTCAGACCTTCCACAAGGCGTGGATTTTTTAAGGAATATTTTTTAAAGACCTCCACAAGGCGTGGATTTTTTAAAGAATATTTTTTTTAAAGACCTCCACAAGGCGTGGATTTTTTAAAGAATATTTTTTCTACAACCTCCACAAGGCGTGGATTTTTTAAAGAATATTTTTTCTACAACCTCCACAAGGCGTGGATTTTTTAAAGAATATTTTTTCTACAACCTCCACAAGGCGTGGATTTTTTAAAGAATATTTTTTCTACAACCTCCACAAGGCGTGGATTTTTTAAAGAATATTTTTTCTACAACCTCCACAAGGCGTGGATTTTTTAAAGAATATTTTTTCTACAACCTCCACAAGGCGTGGATTTTTTAAAGAATATTTTTTCTACAACCTCCACAAGGCGTGGATTTTTTAAAGAATATTTTTTCTACAACCTCCACAAGGCGTGGATTTTTTAAAGAATATTTTTTCTACAACCTCCACAAGGCGTGGATTTTTTAAAGAATATTTTTTCTACAACCTCCACAAGGCGTGGATTTTTTAAAGAATATTTTTTCTACAACCTCCACAAGGCGTGGATTTTTTAAAGAATATTTTTTCTACAACCTCCACAAGGCGTGGATTTTTTAAAGAATATTTTTTCTACAACCTCCACAAGGCGTGGATTTTTTAAAGAATATTTTTTCTACAACCTCCACAAGGCGTGGATTTTTTAAAGAATATTTTTTCTACAACCTCCACAAGGCGTGGATTTTTTAAAGATTTGTTTCAGACCTTAAAGAAGACTCCAAGGTGTGGATTTTTTAAAGAAGACTCCAAGGCGTGGATTTTTTAAAGAAGACTCCAAGGCGTGGATTTTTTAAAGATTTGTTTCAGACCTTAAAGAAGACTCCAAGGCGTCGATTTTTTAAAGAAGACTCCAAGGCGTGGATTTTTTAAAGAAGACTCCAAGGCGTGGATTTTTTAAAGAAGACTCCAAGGCGTGGATTTTTTAAAGAAGACTCCAAGGCGTGGATTTTTTAAAGAAGACTCCAAGGCGTGGATTTTTTAAAGAAGACTCCAAGGCGTGGATTTTTTAAAGAAGACTCCAAGGCGTGGATTTTTTAAAGAAGACTCCAAGGCGTGGATTTTTTAAAGAAGACTCCAAGGCGTGGATTTTTTAAAGAAGACTCCAAGGCGTGGATTTTTTAAAGAAGACTCTAAGGCGTGGGTTTTTTAAAGAAGACTCCAAGGCGTGGGTTTTTTAAAGATGACTCCAAGGCGTGGATTTTTTAAAGAAGGATCCAAGGCGTGGATTTTTTAAAGAAGACTCCAAGGCGTGGATTTTTTAAAGAAGACTCCAAGGCGTGGATTTTTTAAAGAAGACTCCAAGGCGTGGATTTTTTAAAGAAGACTCCAAGGCGTGGATTTTTTAAAGAAGACTCCAAGGCGTGGATTTTTTAAAGAAGACTCCAAGGCGTGGATTTTTTAAAGAAGACTCCAAGGCGTGGATTTTTTAAAGAAGACTCCAAGGCGTGGATTTTTTTTTTTAAAGAAGACTCCAAGCGTGGATTTTTTAAAGAAGACTCCAAGGCGTGGATTTTTTAAAGAAGACTCCAAGGCGTGGATTTTTTAAAGAAGACTCCAAGGCGTGGATTTTTTAAAGAAGACTCCAAGGCGTGGATTTTTTAAAGAAGACTCCAAGGCGTGGATTTTTTAAAGAAGACTCCAAGGCGTGGATTTTTTAAAGAAGACTCCAAGGCGTGGATTTTTTAAAGAAGACTCCAAGGCGTGGATTTTTTAAAGAAGACTCCAAGGCGTGGATTTTTTAAAGAAGACTCCAAGGCGTGGATTTTTTAAAGAAGACTCCAAGGCGTGGATTTTTTAAAGAAGACTCCAAGGCGTGGATTTTTTAAAGAAGACTCCAAGGCGTGGATTTTTTAAAGAAGACTCCAAGGCGTGGATTTTTTAAAGAAGACTCCAAGGAGTGGATTTTTAAAGAAGACTCCAAGGCTTGGATTTTGAAAAAAATATTTTTTCAAGAATATTCCAAAGAGTGGATTTTTTAATGAAGACTCCAAGGCTTTAATTTTGAAAAAAATATTTTTTCAAGAATATTCCAAGGCGTAGATTTAAAAAAAAAAAATATTATTCAAGAATATTCCAAGGCGTGGATTTTGAAAAAAACCTTTTTCAACAATATTCCAAGGCTTGGATTTTGAAAAAAAATTTTCAAGAATATTCGAAGGCTTGGATTTTGAAAAAATTTTTTTTCTAGAATATTCCAAGGCGTAGATTAAAAAAAAAACATTATTCAAGAATATTCCAAGGCTTGGATTTTGAAAAAAAATTTTTTTTTAAGAATATTCCAAGGCGTAGATTTTGAAAAAAAACATTTTTCAAGAATATTCCAAGGCGTGCATTTTGAAAAAAATATATTTTTTCCAGAGAGATTTTTTAAAGAAATTTTCAAGTAGACTCCAAGAGGTAGATTTTTAAAGAATACTTTTTTCAATACTTAGCTCATCTGTAGAAGATTCCCCTTAGCTCACCTATAGAAGCTTCCCTTCAGTGTGTATATAGAAGACTCTCTTCAGTTCTTCTAAAGAAGACGGCCGTCAACTCGTCTATAGAAGTCTCCCTTCAGCTCTTCTATGGAAGACCCCCTCTAGGTCCTCTGTAAAACTTTCCCTTCATCTTGTCTATGGAATAATCCTTTCAACTCCTTTATGGAATCCCTGCAGCTCGTCTAAAGTAGACTTCCTTGGCCTCGTCTATAAGAAGCCCTATATAGACGAGCCATGATGTCGTCTCCCTCTTCCCTTCATTTAGTTCTAAACATGTGTGGTTCTACAAATTTTGTTGTTGTTGCTTATGATTATTATTGTTCTTGTTCTGCCAATTATTGTTTATTTGAATTTCTAGGATTTCTGGATTTAAACATTTACTTAAAATTTTTGTTTATTTCCACCTGAAAAAAAATGTTTTGTTCGCTGGCATTTGGCTTACCTCATCCGATACTTTGGTATATTCCTCATCATCCGGTTGTTTAGGTGTTACCGTTAACATTGCTGTGTAGGCTTTACGGGCTCGTTCATTATTTTCCGCTGTATCATTTTTATCATACCAGGGCTGGGAGGTTAGATAGGGTGATCTGCAAAAGAAGCCAAAAAAAAAGAAATGGAAATTAATTACTAAGGGTAGATGGTGTTTCTTTATAGGGGAGAATAATTTATCAATGTGAGGTGATGTCTGAGGAGGTTTTACTATAGAAAACGAAGTTTTTTTTCTATAGAAAAAAATCATTGGTTGATGTCTCTTGAGTTTTTTTTTTATAAAAAAATGTCCTTAATGGGAACTAAGATCTGCGAAATTTATTTCTATTGCAACGCCGTCAATTGTGTTTTCCTACCTGCAGCCTACCTTAATCTCTCCCTTTCTTTTTCTTATACAAAGTTATATATTCTCCTGCGGATCAAATATATTCACCAATAATTAACGCTAATTTATTTCAAATTAGATTAAAATTTTTAATTATAATTCGAACTTAATTACCCCTATAAAAAGGCAATTTAAAAGTATTTTTCATTCCCTGGGCAGAGGGGTAAGCTACCTTGCATTTAAGTAGGAAACGTGCATAGCTGCTACAATGTTTCTAATTGGCTGATAAAAAAAGATTTAACTGAATTGTGAAATGTTTTTTTTTTTTGTTTACAATTTAATTTTTAGCAACTCAGCGAAAAACATTGAACAGCCACCAGCCAGCCAGTCTGTCATTCATTCAGGCCGAAATGTATGAACTAGGGAAAATGCCAAATTTAAGGATGAATGACGTTTAGAAACAAAAAGTGAAAGTATTTTCAGTGCCAGGGAATGAAAAAAAATATTTGAAATAAAAAGGTGCCAACATTTAAACTAAACAAAAATAGGATGTGATCTCAAAGGTAAAATGGCGTTCCGAAAATGACATAGTCAGCGATCAAAAATTATCCCTGCACTTCGACTCGAAAATAGTTTTTAATAGTTTTGATACAAATGTTAGCAAAGGTCAATGGTATTGTCATGTCATAATTTTTTTCCCCTATCCAACACGATTTGTAAATTTCCAACAACTAACTAATTTCTGACTCAGAAAAGTCATGTCACAACAACATATGTTTTTGTTGTTGTTTTGAATAATAAAACATGATTTAATTACATGTTTAATATCATCATCATCACCCAGACCCTGCAACTTAGTAGCAAATATTAAAAATAAAATTGTAATTATTTACAACAACAACAACAAAATTAATGATTGCAATTAAAACACGACAAAACAACTAATTCTTATGAGGTGTAAATTAAATGAAAAACTAATTTGAAACAATTCATAAAAATTCAGGCAAAAGCCAGTGAAGACTTTTTCTATAGAAAAAAATCACTGAGACCTCAGAGATGTGATTTTTCTATAGAAAAAAATCACTGAGACCTCAGAGACTGATTTTTTTTCTATAGAAAAAAATTCACTGAGACCTCAGTGATGTCATTTTTTTCTATAGAAAAAAAATTCACTGAGACCTCAGTGAGGTGTTTTTTTTCCTATAGAAAAAAATTCACTGAGACCTCAGTGATGTGAGTTATTTTCTATAGAACAAAATTCACTGAGACCTCAGAGATGGCATTTTTTGTATAGGAAAAAATTTACAGAGACCTCAGTGATGTGTTTTTTTTTTTTCTATAGAAAAAAAATCACTGAGACCTCAGTGATGTGTTTTTTTCTATAGTAAAAAATTCACTGAGACCTCAGTGAGGCGTTTTTTTCTATAGAAAAAAATTCACTGAGACCTCAGTGAGGCGTTTTTTTCTATAGAAAAAAATTCACTGAGACCACAGTGATGTGATTTTTTCCATAGAAAAAATTCACTGAGAACTCAGAGATGGCATTTTTTCTATAGAAAAAAAATTCACTGAGACCTCAGTGAAGTGTTTTTTTCTATAGACAAAAATTCACTGAGACCTCAGTGAGGTGTTTTTTCTATAGAAAAAAATTCACTGAGACCTCAGTGAGGTGTTTTTTTCAATAGAAAAAAATTCACTGAGACCTCAGTGAGGTGTTTTTTTGCTATAGAAACAAATTCACTGAGACCTCAGTGAGGTGTTTTTTTCTATAGAAAAAAATTCACTGAGACCTCAGTGAGGTGTTTTTTTCTGTAGAAAAAAATTCACTGAGACCTCAGTGAGGTGTTTTTTTCTATAGAAAAAAAATCACTGAGACCTCAGTGAATGCTTTTTCTATAGAAAAAAAAATTCACTGAGACCTCAGTGAATGCTTTTTCTATAGAAAAAAATTCATTGAGACCTCAGTGAATGCTTTTTCTATAGAAAAAAATTCACTGAGACCTCAGTGAATGCTTTTTCTATAGAAAAAAATTCACTGAGACCTCAGTGAATGCTTTTTCTATAGAAAAAAATTCACTGAGACCTCAGTGAATGCTTTTTCTATAGAAAAAAATTCACTTAGACCTCAGTGAATGCTTTTTCTATAGAATGCTTTTTCTATAGAAAAAAATTCACTGAGACCTCAGTGATGTGATTTTTTTCTATAGAAAAAAATTCACTGAGACCTCAGTGATGTGATTTTTTTCTATAGAAAAAAATTCACTGAGACCTCAGTGATGTGATTTTTTTCTATAGAAAAAAATTCACTGAGACCTCAGTGATGCACTTTTTTCTATAGAAAAAAATTCACTGAGACCTCAGTGATGCACTTTTTTCTATAGAAAAAAATTCACTGAGACCTCAGTGATGCACTTTTTTCTATAGAAAAAAATTCACTGAGACCTCAAGGGAAATTTTTCTTAGTATTATGTTTTTTGGTTTTGAAACTTTACTCACCTTGAAAACAATTCAATATTTATGAAAACATATTCCCCACTATCGATCATATTTAGCTCCTCGGCTGTTAGCATAATTTGCCGTATATTATGCGGATCGGCACACATAATGACAACTGTAATGAGATTAGAAATAGAAACAAAATTAGAAAACTAAATCCATTAAAAATAGATTATTTGGTGTGATGACAATACTAGAAAATGAAAAATCTAAAAGAGGGAAATTGTATTTAAAATGTTTTATTCGGAATTTTTTACAACGTAATTAATTTCCGTAAATAAACACCCCCACCAGCAAACATCACTTGTTGCTACTTCTTGCACGTAGTTGATAGTTTATAATTTTCGAATACCCAACGAACAATTTTTGGTTAAATTATACAAATGAATTTAATTGGTTCTTCAAGGAAGAATATTTTCGATCGTGGAATTTACCTACAAATCTAATGAAAATCTGTAAGAAAAATTCCTGGCAGAAATGAAAACTTTCTTAGAAAGCAAACAATTTTTCAGGGGGAAATATCTGACCTGACTCTCATCATCTATTTCCCTTCCAATAATTTCTTTTTTCCGACTTCCGCCATCATTGATTTATTTTTTCAATTCATCTAATTTCCCAACACAAATGTTTGCTGGGTTATTTGGTAGTTGGTGACATATTTGTGTATCTCTGTGTGTGTTTTGTATACAAAATAGCCGTAGTAAATAAATTAAATACCGTACAAAACAAAAAAGCATTTTAGTGGTCATTGTCATTGCCCACTGAGGAGGCAGTTATGATTATCAATTATCATTAAGTGACTTAGAAAAAAAAACAATCGACAACAAAAACAACGACAATGCGATGCGATAAATAATTATAAATTTTGTTGTTGTTGCATTTTGAAAACTAAGGCAACAACAAAGACCAGATGTTTTTTGGGAGGAAGATTTTACAGTGCATTCGAAGGGATTCATTGTGTAAGAGATTTTTTCTATAGCAAAAAAACACAACACTTAGGTCTCAGTGAATTTTTTTCTATAGAGAGGTCTCAGTGAATTTTTTTCTATAGAAAAAAGTGCATCACTGAGGTCTCAGTGAATTTTTTTCTATAGAAAAAAGTGCATCACTGAGGTCTCAGTGAATTTTTTTCTATAGAAAAAAGTGCATCACTGAGGTCTCAGTGAATTTTTTCTATAGAAAAAAGTGCATCACTGAGGTCTCAGTGAATTTTTTCTATAGAAAAAAGTGCATCACTGAGGTCTCAGTGAATTTTTTTTAGAAAAAAACACATCACTGAGGTCTCAGTGAATTTTTTTCTATAGAAAAAACTGCATCACTGAGGTCTCAGTGAATTTTTTTTCTATAGAAAAAAACACATCACTGAGGTCTCAGTGATTTTTTTTCTATAGAAAACCAGTAAGGAAAGTAGTAAAGTCGGACTGGGCCGACTATATGATACCCTTCACCACTTTGGGTATAATGTACATATGTATCCTAACAATTGCATGTCTATGTTCCCTCTTTCTCCAACCTATCCTAACTTAAATTTCATTCGAGCAGATTTAGAGCCGCTTGCGTAACATGGGAAAAATTTATGGAAAACGATTTATAGCAAAATTGATACACGCTATTCGGTACGCCGAGTTGTTAAAAATATAATCTATATGTGGGAGCTATATATAAATCTGAACCGATATCCACGAAATTTTACACACATCGCTTTAGACTTCATTCAGTACGCTGTGCGAAATTTCGTGCAATTCGAAGGATATATAGGGACGTTGGTGCATCAATCGGACGAACATATATATGGGAGCTATATCGAAATCTCGACCGATTTTCCCGAAACTCACCACTCATCATTCTAGACTCAATTTAGTATGCTAAGCCAAATTTTGTGCAAATCGAAGAAAATAACGGGACTTTGGTACACCATTTACCTTAAATCGGACGAAAATATATATGAGAGCTATGTCCAAATCTGAACCGATTTTCAGGAAACTTGACACACATCATTCTAGACCTAATTCATTACGCTGTACCAAATTTCGTGCAAATCGAATAATATATAGGGACTTTGGTACACCATTTACCTAAAATCGGACGAAAATATATATGGGAGCTATATCCAAATCTGAACCGATTTTCACGAAACTTTGCACACATCATTCTAGACCTAATTCATTACGCTGTACCAAATTTCGTGCAAATGCAATGATATATAGGGACCATTTACATTAAATCGGAAGAAAATATATATGGGAGCTATATCTAAATCTGAACCGATTTTTCCCAAATTTAATAGGGTTCGTCCTTAGGCCAAATAAGTGACCTTTGCCAAATTCCAATTCGGATTATAAATGCGACCTGTACTTTGTTTACAATTTAACATCGACAGACAGACGGACGGACGGACATGCATAAATCGACTCAGAAAGTGATTCTATGCATATTCTCAAAAGGAACCATGTGTCTATCTCGTTTCCTTTTGCCTGTTACAAACATATGCACAAAGACATACTACCCTGTGGTGAAGGGTATAAAAAGGCCATCACTGAGGCCTGACGTTTCAGTTCCTGACGTCTCAGTGGCCTGACGTCTCAGTGGTGAAGGGTATAAAAAGGCCATCACTGAGGCCTGACGTCTCAGGTCGAAGATTTTCCGTTTGAGGAAGATATTTTTGAAAATTCTTCTGTCCACCGGAGGCCTATTTAGATGCTCGAATATCTATTGAAGTCCTGTGTAGAAAGTGTGTGTCTATAGAAGACTAAGCTAGGATGATTTCAATATAGATGATCTCAGGAATGTATTTTGACCGTATAGGACCCCAAAAAGATCTTCTATGTAAGGGAGACCTCGGAAGTTATGTTTATCATGGGAAGACATTTTTAGAGCCCCCGGTTCATCATCTATGTATATATATCCCGCTATCTATAAACGACCTCTTTGTTTATAGGAAAGGTCTTTAGAAAGTCTTCTTGTTGTGGAAGATCTTCTTGGAGATCCTTCTGTATACAGGAGACCTCATTAGAATGTCGTCTATTTATTTAAGATTTTTATAGAAGGCGTGCTTTAGGCGTACTTTAGGGCGATGTCAATATATACGACCTGAAAGAGACCTCGGAAAGTAAGTGTATCTTCGGAAGACATTAAAAATGTCTTCTATTCATTGAATAAACCTCTGAAATGTCTTCTGTTCGTAAAATACTTTTGAAAGCTGGTTTTTGATATTTAGAAAGTATTTTCGGAGGTCTTCAGTCTGCAAAGGACCTCTGATATGTCTTCCACCTATGGAAGGCCTTCTGGGAGTTCCCCTATTTATAGGATACCTTGTATAATACATATATATTTGATAACTGTCCCTATTTGGAAAGCAAGAACAACAAAAACCATTAAATCGTAAAACAAATATTTACAATTACTGGAAAATTGTTTTTTTTGTTTTCGTACGATTTTGAATTGCTACTGAAAATGATTTTAAGTAGCCGCTTTGCGTGTTTTCTGGTCATTTTCAGATATCACCCCCATAACTTTTTTTGTTTTTTACCGGCAGCAGCTTAAAACTAATTAGTAAGGCTTTTGACAATAACAGAAACAACAACAACAAAAATTTTTGACGTCATTGATTACGTCAAAATAAAAATTAGTATTTAAATATTTGTTGGGATAGTTTGAAATTGACCGGTACGAAGTACTTTGTCATAATTTTTTGGTTTTGATATATTTTGGGTGAGAAGGTTGGAGAGGGGATTATAACTAAGGAAGGAGATTTTTCTATTGAAAAAAAAAAAAAATCATACAGAGACCTAAAATAAGGACCCTTTTTCATTAAACCGCTTGGAGAGAACTCAATACCGAAGAAATATTTCTTTCTATAAAATAGAAAATCAGCAGATCTAAGTTCCCACTATGAGTTATCCTTTCAATTATGAGTTATCACGCCTTTCAAATATAGAAAATTTTATAACTGATTCGATTTCTTATTTAAAAAACCAGTAAGGAAAGTAGTAAAGTCGGGCGAGGCCGACTATATGACACACTTCACCACTTTGGGTATATTCATCAGATGAATTCTGCCGAATTCTGCAACCTATACTAAATTTTTCATTTGTTCAAAATGTGACAAAATTACCTATAATCGGGAGAAAATATATATAGAAGCTCTATCCAAATCTGAACCGATTTCAAAACTTTCCACATTTCAAAACTTACGTTGTGCAAAATTTGTGTCAGTTTTGTGTAAAATCGGACGAAAATATATATGAAGAAGCTATATCAACATCTGAACCGATTTCAATGGGAATGACAGAGTTTAACTTATATTAACTAAAGTTTATTGTACAAAATTGTGTGGCAATCGGACAAACTTTGGGTCTTTAGTGCACAATTTACATAAAATCGGAAGAAAAAATATATAGGAGCTATATATAAATCTGAACCGATTTTCAGGAAACTTTACACACATCCACCATTTACCTTAAATCGGAGGAAGATATATATGGGAGCTATACCTAAATCTGAACCGATTTTCACGAAACTTAACACACATCATTCTAGACCTAATTCATTACGCTGTGCCAAATTTCGTGCAAATCGAAAGATATATAGGCACTTTGGTGCACCATTTACCTTAAATCGGACGAAAATATATATGGGAGCTATATCTAAATTTGAACCGATTTTCAGGAAACTTTACACACATCACTCCAGACTCATTCCAGTACACTATGCCAAATTTCGTGCAAATCGAAAGATATATAGGAACTTTGGTACACCATTTACCTTAAATCGGGCGAAAATATATATGGGAGCTATATCTAAATCTGAACCGATTTTCAGGAAACTTAACACACATCATTCTAGACCTAATTCATTACGCTGTGCCAAATTTCGTGCAAATCGAAAGATATATAGACACTTTGGTGCACCATTTACCTTAAATCGGACGAAGATATATGTGGGAGATATATCTAAATCTGAACCGATTTTAACGAAACTTAACACACATCATTCTAGACCTAATTCATTACGCTATGCCAAATTTCGTGCAAATCGAATGATATATAGGGACTTTGGTACACCATTTACCTTAAATCGGACGAAGACATATATGGGAGCTATATCTAAATCTGA